CACCATGGGGTCTGCCCTTGCTTCCCATCATTCTAGTTCATCCTCACCTGAAGACCTGTACACTTGCTTTTCCTCAGGCTTGAACAGTCTTCCCCTAGACCTTCACGATTGGTTCTTTCACACCCAAGTCCCTGTTCAAACACCTCTTCGTCAGCAACCCATTCCGTCTACCCCATCTAAAATGTCTTTGTCCACCATGCCGTCACTCCATTCCCTTACCTGATTTTCTTCATAGCATTTTAATAAATAATACCAAGTGTGATTTACTTGTTTAATGTCTATGTCTCCCACTAGACTATCAGCTCCATGAGGGCAGGGATTCTGCCTTATCCCCCTGTGTCCCCTGTGCCTAGCAGTGTCTACATCATTGTAGTGCTTAATAAGTCTTTACTGAATGGATGAATGGATTCATCAAGAAAGTGAAAACAAAAGCATCTATCCCTACACTCAGCCTAGACAGGGAGAACGGAAATCACATCGTACTGCCTACATTAACATGACTTTACTGTTCCTCTGCCTTCATTTGCATTTCTTCGTTCTTCTGGGACTGTCCTGCCCTGGCAAATGGACAGCATCAGTAGGTGCCTTGTTGAGTAAAATGTTGCGTTAAAATACTATTTATCTTGATTATTTTGTCGTTGTTGTTTTTTTTTTTTTTTTTTTTGGCTCTCCCTTAAATTTTGAGCCTGAGGCGGATGCCTCACTCACCTCACCCTATACCTGCACTGGGTTTACTAAAAACTGATGCAAACGAAATAGAGGACTATGCATATCGTTTAAAAAACAGGGAATTTAGTATACTGATTAAAGTTACAAAGGTAAATGAGGGCGGGCTAAGGAAGGGATGGTGTAGTGTGTTGTATCTTCATTATCGTGGCATGAACTCAAAAGATAATTAAAACTAACAAATCAAATAGCATATAAACACATTATCAATTACTTAGCAACTGGTTAAAAGCAGTTGCCTCTGAGGACGAGGCACTCCTGCTTTTCACTACAAATCCTCCTGTACTGGGTTTTTTAAAACATAGACTTATACTACTTTGATGACGACAATGATAATCCAGAGAGCAAACAAAAATGTCTGGATTCCAAGACCTTTAAGGACACTTCCAGCTCGGTGACATTCTAAACCCACGCCCATCCCATAAACTGTGGGCGCCCGCAATCCCACACCCAGGTCCCCAGAGCCCATGCCTCTAGAAGCAAAAGTGCCATTATCTTAACAAAAGTTAACCGGAGTCTGTCCCCCCAGAGCCTTTGTCCCCGTCCCTTATTTCTCCAATCTAAAGGAGTTTTGGAGAATTCCACGACCTTCCCAAGCAATTCCGCAAAGCCCACAGGATCACCAGTCCCAAATCCTTGAGTGTCCCCTCGCAGCGCATTTCCGGGGGTGGGCCTTTGCCCGTAGACGCCCAGGAGGGCGAGTCCCACAGCGCAGGCGCAGCCCTCCCAGCCTCGCCCCGCCCCTCTCCGGTCATCTCGCCAACCTGTTCTAGGCGTCGCTGGCAGCGGCGTCCTCACGTTCTGTCTTTTCGCCTCGCGGGGTCACGTGACGAGGCAGGGGCGGGATACCCGGAGCACCTCGCTTCCCTGTTCCCCCCAACCCCCGGACCCGGCAATTTCTTGACTCGGTTCCGGGGTCCCCTCCCCGGGTGGCCGCTCGGAGGCCTCCCCTGGCCGACAGCAGAGGATTCGCCTGCCCCGCGGCCGGCCGCGGGTCACGGCGCCGACGGCGGACCGCCTCTGCCTCGCCTGGTGACGCGCCGAGGCCGGCGGTGAAGGAGAAGGGGCGGGCCGGGACGGCCGGGGGCGGGGACTCTGCCGTCCCGGGGCTGCTCTTAGGGCCCGGCTAGTGCTGGCGGTGCGGATACCAGATACCAGTCGTCGCCGCCAGCGCCAGCTCCCCTGGCCGTCGCCATGAACCCCGACCTGCGCAGGGAGCGGGAAGCCGCCAGCTTCAACCCGGAGCTGCTCACGAACATCCTGGACGGCAGCGCCGAAAACACCCGGCGCCGGCGAGAGATCGGTGAGGGCAGCGGACTCGGCCGGCCCGGCCCTCCCTCGATGCGTAGTCAGGGAGTGCTGTAGGGTTCAGCCCCCAGCTCCTCGCCCAGCTTTGGGGGAGCTGAGACCCCCCTCCCCCACCTCGAGGGGGCGGCGGAGGGCGGGGGAGCACATCACCCCATCCGGAGAGGGAAACCTCTGCCCGCGACTGAGAAGTCATCCTCTGATCAGGGAGCCCTGAATTTGACTTCCTCTTTTGTGCTTTAATCTCTTCCAGAGAACTTAATTCTGAAAGACCCCGACTTCCAGCATGAGGACCCGAACTTCCTCACTCGCAGCCAGCGTTACGAGGTGGCTGTCAGGAAGAGCGCCATCATGGTGCAGAAGATGAGGGAGTTTTCCATCGCAGACCCTGAAGAAATCATGTGGTTTAAAAAGTAGGTATCGTAGCGTAGAACAAGTGTATATTTTCACGCCTCTTTAAAGCCATATGTGTGGAAAATAAGATGACATGTTTGTAGAATGCTAATAATGAATGAAGATACTTGAGTTTTCCTTCTCAAAAGTCTTACCCCCCTCAAAAAAAAATCCTTTCGGCCCAAGTGTGTCAACGCTGAGTGGTCTTAATGCAAAACGACTTTACTGTTTGTAAGAAGGAAGCCTGCTAAATTCAGAAGCTGAATTTGGGAGACTTTGTTTGTTTACGTAAGTCCAAACATTTAAACATTTTGGAGCAATAACGGATTCTATTTTCATTTGATAGTGTAGATCTTGAATTTAAAATAACGGAAAATCTGGGAGTGGGTGAAGAACATTAGTCAAAACTCAGAATGAGTATAAAGTATTCTAAGAACCTAGCATTGTTGAATCTGGTGGCAGTGTTCAAAGGGCACTCCTGTCCATAGGAGACCTCAGAAAAACATGCCTTAGTCCTGGTGCTGAAGATAGTATGTGCTTTTTTTTTTTTTTTTAAGAGCATCCGGTTTTTATTTGTTCTTTAATAAAAAATAACATATGGACTTTTTGCCTCAATCTAAACAAACACACCATTATTAACCGATTTTAGTACAGGCTTATAGCATCCTTTTTATTTTTCATTTATTCCTGGGCATTTTGTCTTTGAAGTTTTTGTATTTCAGAAGAACTCCAGTGTTTTCATCAATAAAAATTAAATTATACAAATGGTATATATTAAAGGACCAGGAAAAGTGACACCTATTACACGTTCTGTTTTTATGTAGTAATAGCCATTTTTTTCCCTGACACTACTGCCTCCGTTACATTTGGTGTTTAATTATTTTCGGTTTGACTTGGTTATTATTGTCAAGACAAAATACAATGTCTTTCTTTTGGGGGTAGCCCAAATCGGAGTACACACTAACCTGTAAAGGCTCTTTTTAAAGTTTGTAACTCATGGCTGGGGGAATACAGAGGTAGGGTAACTCCTTGAAGATTGCATTTCTGAATTACCTGATTTGGGTTTTGTAAACTTTTTAAAAAATAGTGCGATTTTGTTCCTCCTGAAAATGACACTGAAGAAGTGGTTTATTTGTTTTTTAAATGGTGATACAGTGTGTTGTTTTAGAGTTTATGAAGAAGACTTTATAACCTGTGGTTAACTAGACTCCAATGATGTCACAGTGAAGTAGAACAAAGTCCTTTCTGTGGGTTGAAAATCAATGGATACAGCCAGTTTGTTTTGTGTATCACTTGTGTCTGTGTGTGTGTGTGTGTGTGTGTGTGTGTGTGTGTGAAATAATGTACAAACTTTAACACACCCTTTGATACCCTTCCAATCCCTAGGATTTGACAGGGAGATCAATTTAGGTGGAGAAGGGGTTTGAAAATTAATGTTGGCAATTAATGAAGGCCATGGAGTGTAAGACTTCCATTGATTATAACTCATACCAATGTTTTATTAAGAAAGAGAAAATGTTGCCAATTGACTGTGATACGCCATCAATTGTGGGGTGCTTTAGGATTTCTTAAATCCTAAAATGCAGTTAAAAAGATGGTAGAAGCAAGGTACAGTAATATTTCCCTTTCTGAGGATTTTTGGCATTTACTGGTGTCTCTTACATCCATTTCGCCTATCACAAAATAAAATTTATAGGAACACTTTAAAATTGACCCAATATTAGTGAAATACTTTGAGATTTTCAACTTGAGTATAAAGAACTGTGTCCTGCAGTCCTTGAGAAAACAGACCGCGTGTTTGGGGATCATTAAAGTAGTTTTCTTAATCTTCTCCTTTTGTGTAAATTTTATCTTTTAACTGTTGTAGGGGAAAAACATCACAAAGTCTAGTAAAGCAAAGAGAAAGTTTTATTCAGCAGAAGGGCAGAAGTGGGAAGCGGACAGCCATGCTGCCATAGCCATGTCTGCCCGAGTCCAAGGAAATATCACGGAACAGACAAAAGTGGGAAAACGGACAAGTATGCTGCCACAGCCATGTCTGTCCAAGTCCAAAGAATATCACAGAATAGGCAAGAGTGGGAAAACGGACAAGCATGCTGCCAAGCCATGTCTGCCCGAGTCCAAAGACCATTACAGAATAGACAAAAGTGGGAAAACGGACAAGTATGCTGCCACAGCCATGCCTGTCCAAGTCCAAAGAATATCACAGAATAGGCAGGAATGGGAAACAGACAAGCATGTTGCCACAGCCATGTCTGCCTGAGTACAAAAAACCATTACAGAGTCATCGGTATATATTAACATTACAAATGGGCAAAGCCATTGAAAGCTTAACCTTTTCAGATTGGCTACAAACTGTGATCCTACCTTTTGAATTGTCTTTAACAATTACTGGTACAGGTTTCAGTAACGAGAGCCAGGAGGGTCTTCATTGGTCCAACAAATTTCTATTCACTAAATGCTAATAGAAAAAGATAAGAGTGGAAAGTCTTTTGTGTTCTGTTTGATCAGCTTGCTGTGAAAGTTTCCCTAAAAGATATTTTCCAAGATTATCTTAGCTATTGTCTTTATACCTCAGGGCCCAGTTGATGTGTCCTTGTGAGTCCTTGTGAGCCCAGCTCCAGCTGGGTCACATTCTCTATGCTCATGGAGAGGGAATAATAACTCCAATATTATTTCCTAAATCATGACTGTATTGTTTGTCATTAACTCTACTGTTTGTTATGAAAAGAAAGCTAGAATGTTCTTAAGAGTGATTTAAAATCCTAATGAGAATCAGTCATGGTTTTTGTTATCCTTTTTAGGTTTTTAAAAGCTGCTGCTTTAAAAAAAAAAAAAATTGAATAGGTGATATTATGTGTTTTTTCCATCAAGAGACATTTTCTTTTTTTTTTTAATTGTTTCTTTGAAAAGTGTCTCCAGGAGGGATTAAACATAGTTAAAAACTAGCTCTCAGATTTTGGTCTTGGATTTGCCCGTGGCCTCAAAACCTCAGTATGTTAAAAACACAGATATTTGACAGTCTTTATTTTGTGTCACATTTTCGCTCTCAGTTTTCTAGAAATCTTTTTGTGTTAACACCATGATTTTGTAAACCTCAGAATACCTTGCTGAGTTATTCAGCCTTCTCAGTTCCCTCATGAGAATGAGTGTCTTAGATTTCCACCATTTTTAGCACTTAAATTTCTGCCTTCATTTCTCAGAAACTTTTCTATATTCATTTCCCTTTTATAAACTTATGAAAGGAAATAGGAAAAGTGTAAGTATTTGCTGGTTTAGTAAGACATGTTTGCTAGGGGATGCCTGTTTGTTATTCTTGCCTTTGAGGGGATGATTTGTACGCGTATCCACCTCCTCCTCAGGCTCTTGGCTCCCACTGCACCGAGGCATGGTGCATTTGATGAAGTGCGTTACTTCCATACTAGGGTACTAAGCTGCTGCTAATCTGAATTACTTGGAAACTAATTAATTCACCTCTTTTCCTTATACTCTTCCTTTCTCCTGTTTCCCTCCATTCAGCTTAAATGATCTTTTTTATATTAAACCCAAACCAAACCCATTGCCATTGAGTCAATTCCAGGTCATGGTGACCCTGTGTGTGTAGAGTAGAACCGCACTCCATAGGGTTTTCAAGGCTGTGACCTTTTGGAAGCAGATGGCCAGGGCGCCTTTCTTCCAAGGTGCCTCTGGGTGGGTTCGAACCACCAACCTTGTGGTTAACCATTTGCACCACCCAGGAAATTGAATCTCAGGGCTAAAAAGCATTTTAGGCGTTGGCCAGTCAGTCATTCCTCTGATGTTTGAATGAGTCTGTCCCTAGCATACCCCAAAAGTGATCTTCCATCCTAAACCTATGCCTGAACATCATCAGCAGCAGAGAAAACATTTTTCACTGATGCTAATGAGCCTCTTCTATTGACTTTTACACATGACTTAGGGCACAGAAGTCATTCTCTTTGGTGGAACCCATAATTATTACATTAATTTACTTTGGCTAATTAAAAACATCTTTATCTAAGAACATATGGAGAGAGTTGTTTTTTTTCCAAGTGGGCTGTGGTTTGTATAAGGTAGAAAAGGAAATGGGATAATTTGAGTAGTATTTATTTAGGAATAGGAAAATAAGATGCTATGTTGTATTTACTGTTGTTTCTTTTAGGCAGTGGGTGGTTTCAGGGCCTCCCCAGAAGTAGATTGGCAGCCTGCCCTTCCTCCCTTTAATTTGTGCTCTGCTCGTTGTACAGAACAGGGTAAGCTGGCAGTGCCATACTTCCTATTCTTCCCTGAGATGTCAGGATGATCAGTTAGATATTTATTTTGTACGTTAAGCTCTTTGGATATACGCTGCATTGATGTATAAAATAGACCCCTGTAAAGCCTATAATGCAGAATAGCCAAAGCATTCTAGCCTGTGTAATTTTTATTTTGACTGTTTCACAGATTATTCTGTTTTAATGAGAAAATAGTTGAGGTCTGAATTTCATTGTGATGTGAGGTTCTCTTAATTTGTGATGATGCTCACAGACCATTGGGAATAAGTTTTTAAAATGTTCACATAACCCTCTTAGCCAGTGTAAACACTGATAACCTTTAGAGATCTGTGATTCTGCCTTCAAATACGTATTTACCATCCTCGATGTTTGGTTAGGTTATCTGGGGAAAAAGAGTTTAAAATTGTACTTCCTTAAGAGCTTTTGTTAACAGTTGTACAAATAAGTGTTTTGTGGAGTTCCTTTTGATCTTCAAAACCAAACCTAAAAGTAAAGCCAAAAAAAAAGCACGCTCCAAAAAGTCCAACCAGTCAAGTCAACAAATAACACCAACAAAACCAAAAACAAACAAAAGGGCTTTTTAGGTGAAAACATGGGTATCATATGCTTCCTGGATTAAGTATAGAATTTAAAGAGGAATTCTGGCCCTGAAATGGCTAGGGGAGGAAGAGTTGTCTCCAGGTTCTGCTGTTGGCTCTTTAGGTAGTAAAATATAATTTCAAAAGAAAGGGGTTTAGATTTTCCCTAACCTTTGTCCTGAAGGCCAAAGCTGTTTGACACGAGGGGGTGGTGAGTGCAGTTTCTGGAGTAAGGCTGAGATCCTTTTCTTTTCTCTCCTGTAGACTACATTTGGGCAATTTTGTGGAACCTGTGGGCGTCAATTACTCCATGTTTATTCCCACCTTGCTGAATCAGGGCACCACTGCTCAGCAAGAGAAATGGCTGCTTTCATCCAAAGGACTCCAGATAATTGGCACCTACGCCCAGACGGAAATGGGCCACGGTTAGTCCACCTTCAGGGTCAGTGGGGGACCCACCTCAGTATTTTAGATAACAGTGACACTTGGCATTTGATTTTTTTTCTGCCACACATTTGGGGTTTTATTTTTAAATTGTTAAATCTTAAATTTAGCTGCTCCTTTTCTCGTAGGTCATTTCCCCATAAACAGGTCTAGGACTGTGGCCTGTAACCATCCTTCAGTCTGATTTCTTCTAGCCTTTTATCACTGCAACACTATTGTTATCCCATTTTAATCACTGCTGAGCAGTTTGGAAAGAAGCTTAAAATGTGGCAAAACACCCCATCGTGTTGGCGTGTCTAATTACTGAAGACTTGAAACTTCCTGAAAGGGCTTATGCCTCAGCAGTATCTGGAAGGTGCCCCTCTGCTTAAATGCAGTCAACAGATGTGGGTTTAATGGGGGCAAAGGGTTATAGCAGTTAAGTGCCGTCTTCTGTCATTGCCCACTAGCAGGCTTGTAAAGCAGTCTGGAAAATACTGCATGAGTTTCTTCATCTGATGCCAGCAGTCTTTATACAGGTTTGTGTGTGCGTGTGTGAGTGTGTGTGCGTGTGTGTGCTTTAGGTGAAAGTTTACAGGGCAGATTAGTTGCTCATTAAACAATGAACAGATTATTTTGTGACATTGGTTGCCAACTTTTTTTTTTTTTAACTACATGTCCATGACCTCTGTATTGCCACTAATTCTTGATTATATTGTTCCTAAATGCCTGGCTACTTTCAAAAAGTTTTGCTTTTGGTCTTGATGTGAAACAGGTTTGTTTTTGTAGACATTGGCAGGTATGAGTGTCTAGAAGTTGAGCTACCCAGCTTCATTTCTAATTATCGCAACAAAGGGGTAAAGAAAGGGAAAGAAAAGGGAGAGGTGCCGTTAATAGCAAGAAAGTGTCATTTGTGTTCCATTTGGTGCTTTCTGGTTTAGGAATTGCTTTAAGGAAAATGTTATTTATCATAAGCTATGGGGGAACTGTAGTTTGTGTTCATGTTGTGATGTTACCATCACCCTGCTAAACAGTCCAGACATTATCTTCAGGATGGCCCATACTGAAATAATAAGCCTGAACAATGGTTTCAGATTTCCTAAGGCAGGAGGATGACACTCATACATACTGTCCTCTTGTCTTGCACTGTGTATTTGTGCGTGTGTGTATGTGTGTTTTTGAGATAGCTTTGTGGTGTAGAGTTCTTTTTCATATTAGTATTCCTTATCGTAGAATTGATTTGACTAATAGTTGTGATTCATAGTAGGTGTAAGGTGTGAAATAGTCTGAGCCTAGTGGGTCTGTTATGTATATCTCTTATTGGTCTGATTCTGCTGCCTGTATTTATAAAGTGCAGTTGCAGATATATATTTGCCCTAAATTTTGAAGGTAGAGAGAAGGAAATGAGGACTTGAACTTTACTGGTTTGAGAAGTTCAGAAATTAAACTAAGAACCTGTCATTGATTGAATGGTGCTCCCCAGAAATATGTGTCAACTTGGCTAGACCACGATTCCCAGAATTGTGTGATTGTCCTCCATTTTTTGTGATCTGATGTAATTATCGTCCGTTTTGTGATGTGTTATAAATCCTAACCTCTGAATGTTAATGAGGCAGGATCAGTGTGGGGTGTATCTTGAGCCTTACGAGAAGGTGTGTCTCAAGCCACCCACTTAATCACTTTACACCCTTGCTTGAGTCATACCTTTCTCTTACAAGAGATGAAAGGAGAGAGAAGTGAGCAGAGAGAGGAGGGAGCTCACTACCACCAAGAAAGAGGAACTGGGAGCAGAGTGCATCCTTTGGACCTGGGATCCCTGTGCTAAGAACCTCCTAGACCCAGGGGAAGATTGATAGCAAGACACGTGGAGATCTCCAAGGAACACCAGGCCCACAGATGTTGAAAAGAGACAAGGACCTTCCTCTAGAGCCAACAGAGAGAGAAAGCCTTCCCTTAGAGCTGGTGCCCTGAATTTGAACTTCTACCCTCCTAAACTGGAGAGAATACATTTCTGTTTGTTAAAGCCATCCACTTGTGATATTTCTGTTAAGCAGCACTAGATAACTAAGACAGATCCTGTGTTGCTCTAGGCAAGTTTGCATGTTGGCATTTTCTTTCCATGATTACTTCTAGTTTTAGGATATTTTCTGGTATTTGAACCAGTTTGGTCTGAATCGCTGTAATTATTTATTTTGGAGAACAGAGTTGTAGTGATAGGTCTTATTCCTTGTTGGAATGGTGTTAATTCATATCGAAGTGCGTTGTGCTTTGTTGACTATTTGTTGGTTAATTTGTTGTCAATTTGCATCACGTGACAGTAGAGCTTTATATAGAATTCATAAAATGTCCTTCAACATCAAGGAGATTGGTAATAGAGAAGCTTGTATAGAATGAAGATCTGATTGTTCAAGTTCTGAGACTGGAAAGTTAAAGATTCTGACGTGATTGACCAACAATGATTACTATGTAAAGTATTCTCGCAGAATTATCCATGCTTGCTGCTTGGGGTTCTTTCACCTCTGGGTAGCTGCTGAGAAGTGCAAGGACTCAGAATTGCTCAGGCTCCTTCCAGGTTCCTTAAGAATCTTAAAATCCAGTCATCTGCACAAAGTCTTGGTTACCCAGTTTTATCTCTTCCTTCATCTAAATGCACACCCATCTGAGTAGGCATTTGAAGAAATCCCCACTGTACACACCTAGTCTGTGGGTCTGTGAACCTGGGCAAGGCCTGGGCCGAAGAGGGCTCCCCTCCCTGGAATACTAGTGTTGAAGGGACAGCCTTCAGCTGTGCTGGTCCCCAGCAGTCCAGCGTTTATCATCCTGACCACACATTTCTGAGGTTACAAGGCAGATAATCTGTTTGGTCTTCACAGATATTTGATCATTTCGAATCCTGGCCACATCATAGGGATTCTTCTTGACTTTTTAAAAAATCATTATTGTTATTTAGAAAAGTAGGGCTCATATAATGCCGAGTTATTGTTTTTGAAGATGATGCACTATCTTTGCAAATTCCCATCATTAATACTCAAATATGAAATAAAGTACCTCCTTCTTCCTTTGAAACTTGAAAGATAGGCAGTGGACTTGATTCTGAGTCATTCGTCTTTCTCTCCTGCTCCTTCACGACTATTTCCTGATGCTAGCTTGTCTCCTGGTCTCTTTCCCAAATGATTCTCTTCCCTGTTGCAGTTGCTCCCTTGGATATTTGGGCTATTCTAACATTCCCACTGTTATTAATAATACTCCTGTCAACTTCTTTGCAAGAACTGTGTTCTTTGGGGTTGTACGTTTGGATAACCCCAGTTCATTCTCAGAAATGAATTGCGGCATCTACAGCTTTTGTTACATGGTTTGAGACTTTTCCTGAAGCACAGAACCAGTTTATATTTAGCAAGTTATTAGTGTACCAGTGTCTCCATAGCCCCATCAAAGTGGTTACTTTTATTTTTTTTTGCTACTTTATATAAGAGTTAAAGTTTTAATTTTCCATTTCCAGTGAGTCTGGACTTTATACATTACATATTACATTTCCTGTGTATAAAATGGGCTTTTCTCCTTTGAGTGCTGATTAAATACAATCTGCATATTGAGCTTATATGATTGTCTCCTAAATTTTTTTTTTTTATCGCCTTGGGTTTTGCTAAAATTTGGCCTTATGTATTCAATACATCCCTCTGGTCTCTTAAGTAAGTATAAATTTCATTTCTCCCAGAGCTTGGATAATTATCTTCTGTTTTTTTCCAGTGTCTTTGTTTGCTTTATGTTTAATGCTTAGAATTGTGTGTGATATGGAGTCAGGAGTGACTCCCATGTTGTTTTCCAGGTTTCTAGCATTTATGAACTAGTGGCTCGTTTCCCATTGTTATGTGCTTTCTGGTTTGTCTCAAGAGTTTTTATAATAGTTTAAATTTATTTCTAGAACCTTAAATGTGTTACACTGATTTGTTTGTTTCTTTCTTTGTTTTTCTCCTAACACTGTAAACTGGTTCGTTGTTGCTTTGTAAAATATTTTAAAATCTGATAGGCCAAGCCTACATTTAAATACATATGTGTCTCATATTTTTGCCTACTTGGTCTTCTAGATGAATTCCAATCTCAGTTTGTCAAGTTGGAAAAACTGTTCTTTAGGAATTTTAAAATAATAATATATAAAATCGATATATTTTCTTGGGAAGTGTTATCATCAGTATATTTAGTGCTCTCAGCCAGGAATTAGGTATTTCTTCCCAATTATTCACACCTTCTTTTATCCATTCTATTAGGTACTTATATTTTTTCTTCAATAAACCTTTAATATCTTTATCTTGAGCTAAGTTACTTCTCAAATTTTGACTATTTTGGGTTTTTTTGTAAATTGTCTTTTTACTGGGGTTTCCACTTGCATGATACTAACAGATAAGAATGCTGTTGATTTTTTTCCCTTTATAGCCTTCAGCTTTTCTACATTCGCTTACTATTGCTGGTTTTCTGCTCTTGTTGCTGATGTCTTAGGTTTATAATCATGCTGTCCACAGAGGTGCTGTTTTTAGTTCTTCCTTTCTCATATATTATTAACCTAATCGTTTTCTCCTCAGTAATGGCCACAAGCCTTCCCATCCCAGTATCATGTGGAAGAGGGCACTACAGTGCCTTTTGGTGATATGATTTTAAAAAACTGACTCTAGTGCTTCTTGTATAATGTTGATGCTTTGTGATTTTTAAAATGCTTTTTAAATAATATATTTATCATGCATAACTAACTTTTAACAACACACACTTGATTTAAGTTAAAGAAACTATCCAGATCACTTTTTCCATGTAACATCCATAAATTTCATCCACTTCTAAATAATCCTTATCTAGTTACAAGAGAGATTTTTCTCCTGAAAACGTTCTCCAGTCTCAGAACAGACTCTGTTTTACCCCCCGCCCTACATGTATTTTGTGGTAACCCTTAGTATTCACTATTATTATTTCATAATACAGTGCGTTGATAGAAACCCCTTCCATGAGTTTGATGTGTTTTGTAATGACCTTTTCTTTACCAGGAATTGCGCAGATTTCTAGTAATTCAAAATAGCGTTGCAGTGCTAAAAGGGGCTGGTTCCAGGCCACGGTTTTCAGGCCGAGTTCAGAGAGTTTTCTCCTCTCAGGTCCTAGGGCCACATTCATCTTTTTTCTAGACACACTGTTACTTTAAAATGGGGCACAGCTGTGATTCCTGTTGACAAGTGAAAGATGCCCCTCCCATCTCATGAATGCGTTTTTTTCTGGAAGTTCTACTTTCTGTTGTAAATTTTTATTTTGAAATGATTATAGATTCTTACGGGGTTGCTGTCAGTTGACAGTCGACTCGATGCACCCAACAACAGCGATTCTTCAGAAGTTAGAAAAACAGTAGAAAGGCCCGTGTGCTCTTCCCCCAGTTTTCACCTGTGCTAACACCTGAGGGGATTTCCACAGTGGACTCTTCAAGGACAGCTCTGGTTTGAGCCAGTCTTTTTAGCGTCCTCATCAGAGTCCACAGCCCATGTTGCATTTGTACGATACAATTTCCAGGTGGAGGCCACTGTGATGAGGCGATGAGGTGCCTGTCCTTGTTTTGCCACTGTCTTTTTGACCTGAACAAGGCACTTAACCTATCTCACCCTTAATTTCCTCTCTGTAAATGAGGGAGTCAATCAACATCCTTTAAATTTTATGTGATTGGTTAGCTTAAAGCACAGCCACTTGATTGGAAGAAATACAGGTAATCCCTGACTTACAACCTATTTGGGTTACAACAAACAGCGCTTATGACCGTCTGTGTTTTTTTTAAAAAAATTTTTCTGTACATCTTGTTGTTAGTAATATGTACTACATACAATGTTGCAGCACATGATTTGCTGATGTTAATCTTAGATGTTCACTCGCAGATGTTCAAAGATCAAATCCATAAAGATACTGATAATAAAAGGCAATATTAATGAAAGCTAAAATATATATATATATGTATATATATATGTATGTATATATGTATTAGACTGATGTCAGAACTTATAACAGAGTAGTTGGAACAGAATCCTGTTGTAAGTTGGGGACTACCTGTAGTTGATCAGTCCTGGCCTGAATAGTATGGTATATCCTGGTTTTTTTTTTTGTTTTTCTTCTTACCTTACCTTGTATGGAACAAACTGTTAGAGAAATTTTGAAACTGAAATGTTGGTCAGATTTATTTCTAAGACATTGAAAAGAATAATAAGAGCAGTATGAAGTGGGTTAATTTAGAGCTTAAACAGAATGTCAGTAATGTGGAAAAATACAAAAGCTTATGAAACTATTTCCTATTCTTAGAAATAAATCCATACAGAAGTCTAAGGCATCTGTAAATTTTAATGGAAAATAATGACCTTCTCATAAAGTGGATTTAAAATGGACTGAAATCAAGATGTTCCTTATCATTAGTGATAATTCCCATGTAATTGTGATGGAGAGCTTGCTATGCATGAATCTGTACTTGTAATTATGATAGCCTTCACTAAAAATCTTTTTTTATATCTGAAATACAATTGGGGTGAAGAGCACTGTCAGTTTTTGTATTGTTTCCGTAGATGGTGGGTGAATATTTGACATCGTGAATCTGAAATGATCAGAGTTAAATGAGGATAGTGGATCTATGCTGAATCTTTTGTGGAGAAACAGAAAATATGCTGGCCTAGAAGCATTATTGAAATGGCATATAGGAAAAATATTATTCTGGGGGATCATACATATTATCATTCTAAGAGAACCACTGTGTTCTCCTGTCTCACCTCCTAATCAGAGTCAGTCACTGTACAACTTAAATTCTGCATGCCGTACAACTTTTCCAAATTGTTTATTGCCTTTGATTTAATTGTTGAACTGTGATCCTCTGTCTTGCGCACGTGGTTTTGTACTGCACAGGTTTTGGGATCAGTAGCCATTCACTGCCAAGATTATTTTAGAAATGAGTAACACAAGAAAATACTCCTAGCCAACTTAAGAAAGATGGAAATTGCCAAGATGTATGAAGTAATGCAGAAAAAGGCAGTGCTCCCATCCTGCTAAAATCCACACAACTGATTCATACTTAAAGAGGTTTTTTTTTTTTTTCCTCCTTCCCTTACTCTGTCTGTTCAAATTGCTGATTCTCTCACACCTGATGACTTCTCTCAAATGCCCACCCTTGGTATTTCTTCGAAGCTTTGTGCACCGTGGGCAGCCTGAGCCTCTGGACCTTCATTTGGGCATGTTCCTGCCCACCTTGCTTCACCAGGCAACTGCGGAGCAGCAGAAACGGTTCTTCATGCCTGCCTGGAACTTGGAGATCATTGGCACTTACGCCCAGACAGAGATGGGTCATGGTATGGTGCCTTCAGTCTACCTTCTGGGCTGGGCGGGGCCCCTGTGAGCTTAGTGTGTATGGAGTGCCCACAGATGCCTGCGATGGCATCTCAACAGACATTGTCCGTTTAAATGAGACCTTTCTGCAGAGTCCAGGTGGTTCACACGTACAAGTCTTGGCATAGATATTACTCTGATCAGTGGAAATGAAAGGTCGTGTGATCACACAAATATGCTTGTTAGTTTCTCAGGATTCCTATTCAGAAGGTCAAGGATTGCAAGTTAGGCATTATCTGCCAAGTGTTTTTTCAAGCTCACTGAATTTGTGATTAGGAGCCCTGGTGGTTAAAGTGCTCAACTGCTAACCAGAAGGTCGGTGGTTCAAACCCACCAGCCGCTGCACAGGAGAAAGATGTGGCAGTCTGCTTCCGTAAAGATTACAACCTTGGAAACCCTATGGGGCAGTTCTACTCTGTGCTAAAGGATCACTATGAGTCAGAATTGACTCTGTGGCAACAAGTTTGGTTTTGAAGTTGCATAGAATTGGTGTGAATATAGAATCTGAACCTTTCTTGTTTTCTTCGTTTCTGTCTGACTACCTTTGCTACTGATAACCTTTATGGACTTTACAAGTTCTAGAAGAAATGCACAGGAACGGTATGTGTGTGCTCTGACTTCCTCAAGGGAAGTGATTCGTTTATATGGCTAAAATGAGTAAGATTTTGTACCTTGAAGTTAATTTGTACCTTGAATTCAGTAAATTCAATAAAGCTCTGTCAGTGGCTTGACCAAAGGTCAGGGAAAATAAGATAAGCCGTATTCCTTCCTTCACGATGAGGCTGGAGGCAGTCTCTCCTGTCATCAGCTCTGAATTGCTATCTGTGTTTGCCATTCTTTTGTTTCTTGCTTCTCTCTTTCTGCTCTGAGGTTTCAGAAAAACTCTGCTAGTATGTATTTGCTACTTGCTCTTTATTTCTGTAGAGCTGCATTTTCTTAATTTTATAGCTAGTTCGGCTCTAGGCTTGGGTGCTGGGTCGTATCTCACAGGACTTTCACAAGACTCAGAGTGGGAAATTATCTGCTTCAGTTATGCGTTTGAAAACATTTTGTCACTATCTGTTCCATTTAATACGTTCCCTTTTTTTTCCTGTAAAAAAAAGGCTTCTTTGGTGAAAGTGTCTGGTTCTTTGACTCTCACTCAGGGAAAGTTGTGAATCACACACAAGCTGGCCATTTCTGTTGTTCAACTTGGAAGTTTCTAAATGTGTCAGTGTGTAAGGGTTTAGTGAGGGCCAGCATTATCGAAGCAGTTTGATGAAAGGTTCTAAGTATGTGCTTCAGTATATTATTATTAGGGAGAGTGCCAACTAGGTTTTTCTGTAACTCTTTTCAAAGAATTGTGGTATATTTGTATCAGGGTTTAAAACACAAATCCCTGTCCATCTCCAGTAAGGATAGGAAACTGGGAGCTCTTCCTAGTTACACTGGGGAACCAGCTAAGGCTACATTAAGGCCTGGCATTGGAAATCTGCAGGGTGATCTCATGCCTTATGATCGGGCCTTTAGGAATCCGGAAGAGCACTGTTCTAGGTGTTTTTCCCCGCAATGATTATACCTTTTAAAGCTCTTATTTTTAATTCTAGCAGTTATTCTGAAATAAATACTCAATTTACTAGAACTTTAGCTAGAGTTTCTTCTTGTCACACATTCTCTAATTCTTCACTGTCGTACGGAATTCCAGAATATTGAGTTGGTGTGGTTTAAATACAGTTCCTATGGGTTGAAGATGGCATACTTGCAACTTAACAGATGGATTTAAAAAGGGCAGTTAACTTCCCTGTTAAGTTCATGTACTGTGATCTTAGGAAAATAAGATTCTGAGCTGCCTTTAGACTTTCTTTTGGTTGATCTAAGTAAATGTTACAAATCCAGTGCTGTAAAAGTGAGCTAAATCAAGTACAGAAACAGAACGTGCTTGACATTTGTATTTTCGGCTTAATGGGAAGCTATCTGATTTAAGTATAAGGAATTAAGTATCTTGGTTATCAGCCTTTTCTAGCTCATCTGCAGATGTTCTTGTTGTTACATTGTGTTGTCTTTGAGAGCCTAGAGCTTAAAGGACTTGGCAAGAAATTTTACCTTGTACCACTTTTTCCCCGTATTCTACCTAAAGTAAGTGTAATTTATTTCCTTAGGGACTCATCTTCGAGGCTTGGAAACCACAGCCACTTATGACCCCGAAACCCAAGAGTTCATTCTCAACAGTCCCACCGTAACCTCAATTAAATGGTGGCCTGGTGGACGTAAGTGAATTTTCCAGCATTTATTGGATGTTATGAAGATAGGGCAATTCTCAAGGGCCAGAAGGCAGAAGGGGACAAGGAAGCTGTTGATAGGGAACCCAAGGTTGAGTAAGGATATTGTTGATGTGTTGTGAGATTGTTAACCGTTGTCATAGGGCAACATGTGTAGTAACTGTTAAATGAGAAACTATTTTGTTCTGTAAGCCTTCATCTTAAGTGAGAATA